CTCTGCTCAAGAGATACTCCCACCTCAGTTTCTTGAGTAGCTGGAATTTATAGGCATGTGCCACCATGCCTGGCTAGTTTTAAGAAAAATTTTTTGTAGAGATGGTTTTTCTTGCTGTGTTGCTGTGGTCAGTCTTGAACTCCTGGGTTCAATTGATCTTCCTGCTTCAGCTTCCTAGCGTATTGGGATTACAGGTGTGAACCACTATACCTGCCCTGTTATTTTAAGTTTTTTTCCCCCGAGTATTTTCTGTTTGAGGTTGGTTGATTCTGGATTTAGAACCTTTGGATGTGGAGGATCAGCTGTGTTTGAAAATGGATACAATATACCTAAGTGTCTAAGCACTGAAAATTTTCACTTTCATGATAGCCACCTTATGATGCATGCAGTTGCTCATTTTTTTAAAGACTTTGTTAGACCATCCCAGAGGTCAGGATTAGTCCCACAATTAACAGAGGAGTGCCCTGAGGCTTAGAGGAGATAAGGAATTTGTATCAGATTGCGAGCCAGTAAATTGGGGCTGTTACAACCACTAGGTTGTTTTAAACTCATCCTTCTGACTTCACAGAGATTTTTCTTAGTGTTGATGGCCTACCCAGTGGGTTACTTTTATCATTTCCAGTGTGTTTGGTCAGCTGCAAATCTGGATAAGCCTATCTCCTCCACTTTGTCTGTGATTACCACTGGAGACCTCCCACCAGGTGGACATAAGTGGTTCATTCTTTCGTGCTAATTGGGTGCCATAATTCAGCCCCTTGGGAATCCACCCACTCACACAAGGTTGTGCTGTAGATTCTTGGGATTCTTTCTCTGCGTTCCCTTCATCCACCAGCCTGGTAACCTTCTCAGAAAAGGATATGAAGTTGGAAGTTGGTGTGCATGACTTGTTCTTATTCTTGTTCTTAAGGAGCTTGCTTGCTTTCTTTTTTTAATGGAGTTTTACTCTTTTTGTGCAGGCTGGAGTGTAATAGCGTGATCTTGGCTCACTACAACCTGCGCTTCCAAGTTCAAGCGATTCTCCTACCTCAGCCTCCCAGGTAGCTGGGATTACAGACCTGCACCACCACACCCAGCTAATTTTTGTATTTTTAGTAGAGATGGGTTTTACCATGTTGGTCAGCTGGTCTCGAACTCCAGACCTCAGGTGATCCACCCACCTCGGCCTCCCAAAGTGCTGGGATTACAGGCACGAGTCACATGATTTGCTTCACAATTTAAAATCCGTGCTTTTGGGGAAAAATAACAACTCTGACTGAATCCAGGAAATAGCAGTTTGAAAAGAGATCTTGTTTGAATTTTTGACAACTTAAGACTGAGCCTGGATTAATTTAGAGTTTTCAAAAACTACCACTGCTAGAGCTTGGGGATATTTGACATTCAGCTTCAGAAGTAGGATCCCATATTTAATAATGCTTAACTTCAGATTTTCTTTTTTTTTTTTTTTTTTTTGAGACGGTTTTTCACTCCATCTATTGCAGGCTGCAGTGCAATGGCACGATCTTAGCTCACTGCAACCTATGCTTCCTTGGGTTCAAGCGATTCTCTTGCTCAGCCTCCTGAGTAGCTGGGATTACAGGTGTGTGCCACCATGCCCGGCTAATTTTGTATTTTTAGTAGAGATGGGATTTCTCCATGTTGGTCAGGCTGGTCACGAACTCCCGCCCTCAGGTGATCCACTTGCCTCAGCCTCCCAAAGTACTGGGATTACAGGCATGATTTTTTTTTTCTTAGATGGGGGTCTTGCTCCATTGCCCAGGTTGGAGTGCAGTGGTGTCATCTCTGCTCACTGTGACCTTCACCTCTCGGCTTCAAGCATTCTCGTGCCTTAACTTCCCAAGTAGCTGGGATTACAGGCATGCGCCACCATACCCCAGCTAATTTTTGTTATTTTTAGTAGAGACTGGATTTTGCCATGATGACCAGGCTGGTCTTAAACTCCTGGCCTCAAGTGATCCACCTGCGTCTGCCTCCCAGAGTGCTGGGATTATAGGCATGAGCCACCTCGCTTGGCCTAAATTCAGTTTTCCTTAATGTCCTTTTTCTGAACATCAATTAGGAAGACAATCTGGACTTTTACCTTTTCATAGTTCCATAAGATTTTGGCCAAAATTGCTCATTTGTATGTGTGTTTCACCATTATTAGACTGTAGAGAAATTGGCCTGGTGTGTTGGCTCATGCCTGCAATCCCAGTACTTTGGGAGGCCAAGGTGGGCAGATAGCTTGAGCTCAGGGGGTTGAGACCAGCCTGGGCAATATGGTGAAACCTTATCTCTACTAAAAATACAACAATTAGCCAGGCATGGTGGCACGTGCCTGTAGTCTAGCTACTTGGAAGGCTGAGGTGGGAGGTTTGCTTGACCCTGGAAGGTGGAGGTGACAGTGAGCTGAGATGATGGCACTGCATTTTATCCTGGGTGACAGAGTAAGAACTTGTCTCAAAAAAAAAAAAAAAAAAAAAAAAAAAAAAAAAAAAAAAGAAAAAGAAAAGAAAAATGGACTTGATTGCTGGTTACAGGGCTGTATACATTATGATTTGTGCACTTTATTGTGTACGTTAATAAAGTGGTTTTAAAAAAATGTATAGAAGTCATCTTCCCTCATGTCTTTGGAAAATCATGCTAATTGTGTTGGTGTTATTAACATTCTGTATATTTCCATCTTTGAGAATTTATTTAACATATTGTTGGGCAGGGTTTAATTCTGAAAGATTTGAAATACACTGTCCTAAAGGCTATAGAAGAGAGTTGTCAGGGCCGGTGTGGCAGCTCATGCCAGTAATCCCAGCACTTTGGGAGGCTGAGGCTGTCAGATCACCTGAGCTTAGGAGTTGGACACCAATTTGGGCAACACAGTGAAACCTTGCCTCTACTAAAATCACAAAACATTAGCTGGGCGTGGCAGTTTGCATCTGTAGTCCCAGCTACTCGGCAGGCTGAGGCAGGAGAATCGCCTGAACCTGGGAGGTGGAGGTTGCAGTGAGCCACGATCATGCCACTGCACTACATCCTGGGTGACAGTGCAAGACTCCAGGTCAAAAAAAGCAACAAAAAAAAGAGAGTTGCCATTAATTTTTTAAAAAGTTTTAAGAGTTTGAATTGATGTGCTGTTCTTAATATAGTAATGTATAATTGTATAGACGTTATTAGAAAAGGAAAAAAATACCAGATACTTTAATATACTCAGTATAAGTGTTGGTCAAGTGTCATTCAGGGAGCATACCTTTTAAAGTTACTCTGATACTTTTCTGTTACCTTCAACCTGAAAGCACAAGAGGTGTTGCAGGCAGAGATAACCATGGTCCAATCTGGTTCCTGTAAACATTCAACAAATATTTGCAGGTCTGCTATGTGCCAGGCATTGTTTTAATTAGTGAACAAAACAGGCAAAAATTCCTGCTCACATGGAATTTACCTTCTAGTAGATCTCAAAGTTCTCTATTCTACTAATCACTGGTATCACCTGGAAAGAATTTATTGCTGGTTCAACACAGCTAAGGACTGGCATGAAGTTCTGTAGCTGATGTGGGAAGTACCTCGCTAGTGTCTCCAGCGCTGGGTTTTCTAGACTAGTCTTCAAGCTTTATAGGTTTGGGGATTGTGTGTTTACCACATCTTGCTGAGACTTGTCTTTTTCCTGGAGCGCTCTCAGTGCCCATGGATCCAACTACAGACCTAGGCAGATGACCTCCAGCGTCACTTCCTCATGGATGCTAACACCAGATGTGAACTGCCCACAGTAGCTGGTGTTTTCCAAGTGGAACTCATTGTTTCAAACTAGCACAGTGGAAAGCACATGAGATCATCTGGGTTCAAGTTACATCTGAGTGACTCACTGGCATCCATATAACCTTATGCATATTTCTGACCCTCTCTGCATCTGTAAAGTGACAAATCAACCATGGAGGGTTGTTTTGAGGACGAAAGGATTTCATGTAAAACACCCAGCGCATCAGTAGGTGTCTGATGAATGTCAGTTTCTTTCCTATCTTCTGTCTGCTAAGCTAGTCCTTCATTGTCTCCTCACACGCAGGTTTGCTGCTGCTGACTCCAGGTCCTCCTTTTTACTGTTGACTTTGTCCTTCAAATCTGGTTCAAATCAAACTTACATCTCCCTTGCTGAGAATCATGAACTGGCTCCCTGTTTCCTACCTGAATGAAGTAAGACACTCCCACTAGACTTTCAAAGCCCTCCCTTTTCTTACTCATCGTCCGTCCACTGTATTCTTACTATAACCTTATTTTAAAAGATGACACCATTTCAACATGTTCCCACCTGGTCTCCTCACTGTTCCGTAAGCTAGCCATCTGTATATCAGTAACACTCCAGCCTGGAAGAGCCAGGACCCCAGCACTGGCTCTCATAGTTCACTCCCACAGGCTCTCCTGGTCTAGTGTAGGCACTTAATAAATAAATGCTTGTTGAATGAAATTGCTTCTCAGATGTTTAGGAACTTGTGCTGAAAAATTTTAGGACAAAATTTTAGAAAAGGACCAATTAATATTGCATATTGTTTTTTCTCCCCTTCTATAAAAATTATGCTCAGTTTTGAAGACTTGGAAAAGATAAGGGAAAAATATTCACTATTCTACCATTCATAGATGCATTTTATTACCATTTTTAATGATAAAGGCATTTAACCAATTAGATTATTTACTAGTTTGCATTGAGGAGATAGTATGTGCTAGTGCTGTGTATATGCACTTTCATATGCATTTTCATTTTATATGAACTTCCAAAGTGATATGAAATTATATATATTTTAAATTTTTGTACAAAAATATACAAGAATTAGCCAGGCATGGTGATGCGCATCTGTAGTCCTAGGTACTTGGGAGGCTGAGGTAGGAGGAGTGCTTGAGCCTGTGAGATCAAGGCTGCAGTGAGCTGTGATTGGACCACTGCACTCCAGCCTGGGCGACAGGTGAGACCCAGTCTCAAGGGGGAAAAATAAAGAAACTGAGCTTAGTAGTAATGCCATATCCCTACTTTTGTTGCTTAGATTGGTTTATCTTGAGAGCTAAAAGGGCTTTCCTCAGCCTGAAGATCAGCTGACCATTGACATCAGCCATGTCATCGAGGCCTCTTGAAAGTCCACCTCCTTACAGACCTGATGAATTGTAAGTAAATAATTATTTAGTTATTCTCTCTTAAAAAGCCTATCACATGTAAAAAATATGGTTGAAATTTTCATTTTTAAGTGTTTGCTTTTAAAAATGATATGTGCATTTGTAAATTTAAATTGTATCGAAAGGTCTGCACTGAAAAGTGAATTTTTCTCTTACTCTTAGCTTTCAGAATGATAGTTTTTCTCTGCTGGGAGGACTGCTGTCACCTATTGCCAATGTTTGTTTCAAGAGATTGCCAAGATTTATATTTGTATACAGATGATAATGAAGCTTCCATTTAAATGCCTTGTTCAGATGGCTGTTGGCAACATATTGTCAGTTTTTAAAAGTAACAGCTTTAGGCCCAGCTTGGTGGCTCATGCCTATAATCCTGGCACTTTGGGAGACTGAGGTAGGCGGATCACAAGGTCAAGAGATTGAGACCATCCTGGCCAACATGGTGAAACCCCGTCTCTACTAGAAATACAAAAATTAGCTGGGCATGGTGGTGCACGCCTGTAAGCCCAGCTGCTCGGGAGACTGAGGCAACAGAATCACTTGAATCCAGGAGGCGGAGGTTGCAGTGAGCCGAGATTGCGTCTCTGCACTACAGCCTGGAGACAGAGCGAGATCCAGCTCAAAAACAAACAAAAAAACAAACAAAAAACCACAGCTTTACTGAGATATAATTAACATACTTTACAACTTACCCATTTAGAATGGATAGTTGAATGGTTTTTAGTATATTCAGAGTTGTACAACCATCACCACAATTAATTTTAGAACATTTCATTATGCTCCAAGGAACCCTACCCATTGGCAGTCACCTCCCAGTTCCATCAGCCCTCAGCAACCATCAGTCTACTTTCTGCCTCTAGAGATTTGTCTATTCTGCATATTTTGTATAAATGGAGGAATCATGTAATATGTGGCCTTTTGTGTCTGGCTTCTTTCACTTAGCATAATATTTTGGGGTCCTTGGTCATGTGAAGATTTATCGGTGAATTTTTGAATTCCAAATTTGCTATCAAACATTGATAGGGATTTCCTCCTCTAAGTAGTTTACAGCTTTAATCCTGATAAGTGTAGTGGAGTGTAATATAGGTGAAAACAAACTCAGTTTCTCCTGCTATTCTGTCGCAACATAATCAATGTAGAATACATCTGTGACCTCTGATCACCAGAATGTGTGGGGATTTTTCTCCATGATCAACCAAGTAATCAGTTCTACAGTGGACACTAGCTGTGTGTCCTCTAATTCAGCTGAATTCTGATGCTGCCCGGAGATAGCATCAGATCACAGGTTCAGGTCTCATTCCCTGAAGACTGCCCCCACTTCACATAGCAGCCGCAAGCTCAGGTTGTGGCCTGGGTTTCTGACCTACCTACAGTAAATCGGGATTCCCACAATTCTCTCCTTGGGTTCAATTAATTTACTAGAGTGGCTCACAGAACTCAGGGAAACACTGCTTATCTGGTTTATTATAAAGGGTATTACAAAAGCCAGGTGTGGTGGTGTACGCCTCTAATCCCAGCTACACAGGAGACTGAGACAGGAGGATTGCTTGAGCCCAGGAGTTCAAGGCCAGCCTGGGTAACATAGGGAGACCTTGTCTTTTATGAATGAATGAATGAACTAACGGATGATATTACAGTGGATGCCAACAAACACCACATGAAGAGATGAACAGGGTGAGGTATGTGGGAAGGGGTCTTTCCGGGCTGTGCCACCCTCCAGGAACCTACACATGTTCAGCTGTCCAGAAGCTCTGTGAACTCAGTCCTTTTGGGTTTTTATGGAAGCTTTATTACATAGGCATGATTGACTCTAAATCATTGGTGGTGGTGATCAGTTTAAGCTTCAGCCTCCCTTTCCTGTCTAGAGGGGGTTGAGACTGAAAGTTCCAACTATCTAATCCTAGCTCCTATCCTGAAGCTTCCTGGGGCTGCCACAACCTATCGTCTCATTAGCATATAAGGGACACTAATCACTTTGGAGGCTGCAATAATCTTATGTTTTAACAAGCCCTCCAGGGCACTGATAAGCTTTAGTTTCATTTACCCAGTAGTTTAAATTATTCCAAATAATTTATGTTCTTTCTGCTTACTACCAAAAAATGCTAACTTGAAATTATTTTCATATTCATTTCAGCAAACCGAATCATTATGCACCAAGCAATGACATATATGGTGGAGAGATGCATGTTCGACCAATGCTGTCTCAGCCGGCATACTCGTTTTACCCAGAAGATGAAATTCTTCACTTCTACAAATGGACCTCTCCTCCAGGAGTGATTCGGATTCTGTCTATGCTCATTATTGTGATGTGCATTGCCATCTTTGCCTGTGTGGCCTCCACGCTTGCCTGGGACAGAGGCTATGGAACTTCCCTTTTAGGAGGTGGTATAGGCTACCCTTATGGAGGAAGTGGCTTTGGTAGCTATGGAAGTGGCTATGGCTATGGCTATGGTTATGGCTATGGCTACGGAGGCTATACAGACCCAAGAGCAGCAAAGGGCTTCCTGTTGGCCATGGCCGCCTTCTGTTTCATTGCCGCGTTGGTGATCTTTGTTACCAGTGTTATAAGATCTGAAATGTCCAGAACAAGAAGATATTACTTAAGTGTGATAATAGTGAGTGCTATCCTGGGCATCATGGTGTTTATTGCCACAATTGTCTACATAATGGGAGTCAATCCAACTGCTCAGTCTTCTGGATCTCTCTATGGTTCACAAATATATGCCCTCTGCAACCAATTTTATACACCTGCAGTTACTGGACTCTACGTGGATCAGTATTTGTATCACTACTGTGTTGTGGATCCCCAGGAGGTATGAGTGGTGTTTTGGGTTTTTTGCCCCTCTCCTTAGCAGAGGCTTTCAACTTGGAATATGTAATAGAATCACTCTGGAAACTTTTAAAAAATATTGATGACAAGGCTCCACTTCTCATCTCAAGGAGGGGCTCAGTGTCATTAAGATGTCATTAACATACAAGGTAATTTGGTTAAAGAACAGTTCAGTGGTTTTAAATATGTTCACAAAATTGTGCAACCGTCACCACAATCAATTTTAGAACATTTTCGCGATCCTAAAAAGAAACTTGTGCCCATTAGCATCACTCCCCATTTCCCTAACTGTTCTTTGCCCAGGCAGCCACTAATCCTATCTGTAGATGTGCCTGTTCTCTAGGTATTTCATAAAAATGGAATCACACAATGTGGTCTTTGCGATGGGCTTCTTTTACTTAGCATGCTTTTAAGGTTTATCCATGTTACAGCATGTACCATTCCTTTATTCCTTTTTATTGCTAATATTCTAGTGTGTGTCTAAACCACATTTTATCAGTTGATAGACATTTGGGCTGTGTCTTCATTGGCTAAATCATGCTACAGACATTCTTGTATATGTTTTTGGGTGAACCTATGTTTTTTTTTTTTTTTTTTTTTTTTTTTTTTTTTTTTTTTTTTTTTTTTTTTG